CGGTTATCGAGTAATGAATAAATAAAATTTACAAAAAATTATGAGACATACTGTACCTCTTTATAATGTTCAATTGTAAGTCTTTTCCAGTATTGATTACAAATTCGTAAAGTAAGGAACTGACAATCATCGCTCTTCAGATGTTTTACGTATTTTTTTATTTCCCTGTCATGATGTTTTATAAGGCATTCGACCGTGTTTCTAAAAACTTGTTCTGCTTGGTCTCGTTGGTCGTGACAAAATTTAAGTTCTTCGTAAAAAGCTGTTGCAATCCCGGACTTATCACTTATGGAAACTGTGTCACCCTTTTCTTTTATTATTTGTACTAGTAAACGATTGCGTATGGTTTGCGGATCTAGTTTTAACTTCCTCATTTTGTTTATTTTTAGTGAAAAAGCAAAACGCGAAATATAAAAATCAAAGAACATGTGATGTCATGTGATGTGTCACCATATACTGCACGTGAAGATAGGAATTTACTTTATAATACTGCGTCTATTGTACGCGTGATGACTTCATGTATAATAAGATTAATGACTTTGGAAGGCGAGAAAATCTATCACTTTGCGGAATATACTTATTCATTTGAATGATGTAAAAAATACTAAGTTGATTATTTCACTTGATTTTTTTGTTTTACTTGCACAAGGTAAATAAAAGAATTCATTAACAGGGATATCACCATTTTATATTTTGAATACGCTTTTGGAAAATACAGTGCTGGCAACAATTTTCTTCATTTGTAAAAATTTTATTATAAAAAAATTTTTTATTAAATTAATATTAATATAAATTAAAATAATATTTTTAAATATAATATTTTTTTATTTGATTTTTTATCAAGTACAAAATATTAAAAAGTCTGTATACTTAAAATTTTATAACTTTAAAATTTTTTAATCTTATATACTATATATATAATAGTCAATACAAGTTTCTTAACAATATTAACAAGCTAATTTTTATTTTTACTTCACATCACCACTAACTACTTTCCAATTAATAATTCAACTCTTTTTAAATCTTAATTAATATTTAAACCATACTATTATCATTATATACTCAAATATTATTGATATTTAAACTTATGCTTCTCTATATATCTATACCAAAAACTTTAATATCTGAACTATATATGTGATATAAATTATTTATTATTAACTCAATTTCCAAAATTCTTAAAAATAAATATATTATAACTTAATTATTTATATGTTTTAATAGTGACTCAATTAATTGATTAAAAATCTATA